GAAGGTATGACATATTAATAATTGTATATCTCAAAGAATTATTACTTAAAACAAATTCAAAATTAGGGATTATCGTAGAAATAAAAAATGCCCAATTAATAATAAAAACCCTCATTATATATATGAAAAACATAGTATTCGTTTGTCACAATTATCACCACTTTCATGACATATTTTTAAAAATCTTCTTGCTGATGATTTGATTATGAGAAGAATTAATTTTCATTAGAATCATGCAATAGCAATGTAAACGAGAAAAATATAAAAGCTTTTTACCTTCAAATAAAGCGATGCAATCTTATAGAAGCTATTTTTTATCAAGATTCTATTGATCACCTGTTGCAAAAATGGCAAAATATTATTAGAACAATGGCTTTCGAAGCTGTTTCGAAAAAAATAGGAGTTCAATGATTAGCCAACTGGAGTTTACGTCTTGAACTTCGTTTAAATAATTACCAGTATTCAGGTAATTGGTATTAGGACTTTTTAGTAGCAGCTAAATCACATAGTTCTTATTCGGTTCAGCAGCTTGTTGCATACTTGTTGTTACAACAGGTAATTGCCCAAACATTTAAAAGAAAAACTATTAAAATTGAACAAAATAAACTTTCAGCAGACTGTCATTTGATGATTAAAAATATTATTGTCTTGGAACCAGCAAAAGCATCAAAATTCTCCTATATTGTTGGATGGGTTATTTACAAGCTTATTAAAAGTGATGACTTAACACAATCGCACCCTCAATTCAATTCTATTCATGCTTACTTGGAAGTTTTAAGCTCGGAGAAGGTAGTTTATGAGCGACATATTCGATCTCAAACAACGAACGTGATTCCTGGCCAAGAATTTCTTGAGTTTTTTTATAAGATAGAGTCATTAATACTTTTATTATTCGAAAATCATAATGAATATAGGCCTAATATTCTTGAATACATATGCAATAGCTTGCTTTGCAACTTATCATTATTGCGATCTTTCAACATGCTACTTGATATTGCTAGCAGTTGTCAACATGTGATGGCTAAAAAACAAGAATTAAAAGATGATGTTAGAATGTTTCTTTACAAACGAATTGTATATATTTATATGAGAAGTAGACAGAAGTCCTGGCGAAGCTTCAATAATTTTATTCCTGAAAAAGGATCTTCAAGCCTTCGAGAAAATCTTAAAGGCATGAATAATGATGCCCAAACCTCACCCAAGATTGATAAGAAACTTACGCTAATAAAGAAGACTAACATTCCAACGAACCCTTTACTTGGCTTGAAGCAGCTTCAAATTTGGGCACAGTTAGATAGTGCTGAGGAAGTAATTTCAAGAATTTTTTTAGTTTCAGAATTGCAATAGTTACTCTGGGCATTTGGAGATAGTGCAACAAAAAAGCGAAAGAAGAACTTGATATCATCGATATTAAATCATTTACTAAAAGGAACTCAATTTTGTGAAGAAGCTATACTAAAAGGACAAAT